ATATTACAAAATTTGAATCAATATTACAATATCACGAAAGTTGGAAATATCTTCCGTCAGTTTCATATAAAATATATCTTTGTATTTTCACACTGCCCATTACGCAATATATAGTGACCCAATTCTTTTATAATGATCACCTTTTTTGCTTTCAAAACGATTTTGCGTAGTTTTAATGAAATTTTAAATTTAAAATTATATTTTTTTCATTTACTTGACTTTTGAATTTTGAAGAAAATTTTTGTCTGGAATTCCCATATTTGTTTTGTAACATCTACCTATCCTACCATGATTTAGCAGCGCTAAATACGTATTGATCGAGACGATTCATTACGACAATTCCTTTTTTCTTCGCTGTATTATTGGGAGACTAGTCAGAAAATAGCACGTCGCAATACGATGCGCCGCTTTATATCTTTCTCTCTTTCTCTTCTTTATTCTCGCGGGTGCATAATTGTGAACAAACATCGAGAATCAAGAGAACACTTTCCTGCATGAAATATCTACATGCACGCGTACACGTCTCTTACACGCAAGCACGCACTTTCGTAGCTACCAGCTGATTTCGTTTCGTGCGTGACCGTCAATCGTTATAGTCGCGCTAAATAAATGCTGCTAATGCACAAGAGACTTCATTAGGAGTCAATAAATTATACCTCTAAGTGTGTGACCTCTAAGTTGCTTTGTAAAATCGAAAATAATGTTCCGTAGTAGTACAAAACGCAAGTAATAGTATTATATTTAATAGTTAACAATTTGTTTGATTTGAATCAAAATATAATAAAATCGAGTATTTATTTCATTCACAAAAATGCGTTAACAAATATATAAGTTTATTTAGAAAAGAAGAATTTAAAAAATAAATTAATGTAATTGAATAAATTTGCAGCTTGATATCTAAAAATATCAATATCAATTCATAGTGCTGTTACAATTTAATTATTAATTGCTACGTCAAAATAATTTTGTTTAATATAAAACTGCTATGATTAGGTGTTCATTTCTGCTTTTCTCGCGTTTTAAGATATTAACTTTAATTTTAATTCGTTTTTTTTTTTGTTAAAAACAAAAGTCTTTAAATCTTAAAAATAAAACAACTACCTATTGAAAAACTTGGTCTAATTAAATATTAAATTATTGAAATCTCGAATTAATTATATTTATCCAAAAATAAATTGAATAGATTAAATTTAATGGACTAATAAGAATAAACGAAGGTAAATGTTAAATGTAAGTGTTAAATCAAATAGATATTAACGATTTAATCTTCTAATCGCGTTTTCTGTAGTCACTTAGCACTCGTCATACAGAAACAAAGAGAGGGAAGCCTGCTCAATAGTTCAAGTATAAAGTGCAAGGATGATTTCCCCGCGTGGTCAATTTTTATGATATGTGCCCTCGCCGTTGTCTCGTACAGAGAAACGACATAAATAGCCTTATCATGAATGCATACCGCAGCCGATAACAATGGATAATTTCACTGTCCACGGACGCGCGATGATTTCTCGCGAAATGACCGTCGATAGCTCGCTATTTCTAATGTCGCGTTCATTAAGAAAAATCCTGCTATGAATCAAAACATGTAAGTGAAACAAGCTCGATAATACTGACTGATAAAGATGTGGATAATTGAACGAGGAAGAAAAACAAAGGCATTTATATATTGGGTCTAAAAAGTATTCGCAGTTTTTAGATGATCCAATATATATATGTGTGTGTGTGTGTGTGTGTGTGTGTGTGTGTGTGTGTGTGTGTGTGTGTGTGTGTGTGTGAGACATTATGGAACATATCGATTATGCAAAAAGCGATTGTATAAAAAAAATATTCATAAATAAGGAAAAGCGCATTGTTTATTTCATTCACTCAAAAATAAAATAAGAAATCTTCCGATTTGCATTCGTATAGAAACTTAAACTACCTATTCCTTCAAATTTGTTTTCGTTTAATAAAATAAAAATCAAGTAATATATAAATAAATATGTAAATCAAGTAATATTGTAAAGATTTCGCTTACTATTTGTAGAAACATTATTTGCAATTCAAATTTTGAAAGCGACAAATTTTGTTATTTTAAATATGTTTCATAAATAAATTCTTTTAAACGTAGATGGATATTAAATATGGATGATAATTAATGCTAAACAAATGTTAATAAAATAATAAATAATTTTACAAATTATAAGTAATTTTCATTTTTATACAATTCCTTTATAATTTTTTCGAAATGTTCAAGTATTGCGAAGGCAATGAAGACAATTTGAATTCGAGATAGAATGCCTTCCCGAGGAAAAAGAAATTCCAATAATCATCGTCTGTAAGGAAATAATTAATCGCGTCTGCAAACCGTGGGTTGCTCGCGTCGGACGCGAATAGCCCAGATTATGCGATGAGGATGGTTGGGACGAAGAGGAGGAACTCGACAAGATATCATCTTTGGTCGTACAGTATCGATCGACCAATCCTGTCTTATCTATTATTAGACGAATAACGGCACATGGATCATTATTATTATGTGAAATGTATTTGTAGCTAAAGACAACGACAACGACGATGACGACAACGAGAAATCAGTTCTATTCCAGTAACTAAAATTATGGCATCCGTTAAGTCAACTTGAAACTACAAGAGATGCTTTCCTAAAATGGGACAAAGAAGTGTTGTCGAAGAAAGATAAAGATATTCGGGAAGAATGAAGAGACAATGAAATTGGATCAGCAAACTAATTGTTAAATTCCCGGGACAGTGAATGGAATTAAATCTCGTTAAAGTTCACAAAATCGCTTATAACATTGCCTCGGCGTATATTAATAATAATGAACCACACTTGGTACCGAAGGGTCATGATACTTTCGTAGGGTTCCTTCTCTTCTTCCTCTCGATTGCATAGAAACATTTTTAACGCGCGTCTATGAAATTATTGGTCGTAAGGCGCTATATCAATTACTCGACACTACGTTAGCTGATGATTATAATTTTTGCATGTTTCTTTTCTTTTTTTTTGACATATCACATTCAACAATTTCCTTTTTGCTTATTCGCCGAATAAGCAAAAATGTCCCGCGAGAAAATAAATGGAGAACGCGATCATATCTAAATTATTCAACAGTAGTGTATTGACCGCCGTGCCACAAGACCATAGCGCTATATTACCTATCTATATCCCGTGAATAAATAATCAGTACGATAGTTCCAAACGTGTCTTTCTTTCCCCTTCAGTATGCTTAAATCTTAAAAATAAATGCTGAAATGGTTGCGGTGAAGATTCGGTCCGCATCGATTTTCAATCAACTGTAATCTTCGTCGAGCTGTTCTTGGAAAGAAGGAGTGAATTAATTATATATCGGGCCACCTAATTTCAGCTCGATGGTTCGTCGTGGAGTGATCGCGCGATGATAAACTAGATAAAAATTGAGTCGGATGAAACCGCTACGATAAATTTAATCTCTTTATGATCTAATGTCACATCATTATAACGCGTACATTCACAGATTTTTTTTTAATTCTTGCTAAACATTCTATCACAAACATGTACGGATAACAACGTAATGAAAAAGTAAAAATATAGCATATAGTAAGTTATTAAGGATTCTAAAGATGAGAGAGATTAGTCATATTGAAACATTTATACACAGATTTATTTTGACACATCAATATTTCACTCACGTACGCCATACATAAATTTTCGTATAACAATTATATTTTAATTAGAGGTCTAAGTCCAATTTTAAGAACTCCATACTGTTTCATGCAAACTGCTAGTCTATGGACTACTATTTCAGTACAGATTACACAGCTTTTATAAGAAGCAAATGTTGTCACAACGTGACAGCTTTGGAGCGCCATATTATTAAGTAATGATCGTTCTCAGTACAGACTCCATCTCACAGATACGTATTAATGCGTATATTTTAATCCTGGATAAAGATTTTCAAATCAGTAAGAGAGGAAAAAAGTAATTGTTATATAAAAATTATACGGTTTAGTCGGTAATACAGACGACTTTAGGATCCCCTTAATATGTGAATAAATAAAAGGATATCATTTTTTTTCGAGAAAAAATCAAAAGCTTGTTTTTAAAATAGCTTGAATAAATTATACTTTACATTTTATAAAAGCTATACTAAAAAAATATTTTTAAAAAATTTAATTGTAGTGAAAAAATAATATTTTTAGTATCGTCGAAATTTCAGCACGCAATTTAAAAAGACTACATATACGTAGTATATGAATTCATAGTATAGAATTATACAAGCAATTATACAAGCTTAAGATATTATCAAATTTGGGAAAGATTAATTTCAAATAAATCTCACTCTTATCTAAATCTATATATAATATAAAAAAATTGTCACCTAGTATGATTTATTAATAAATATATGTAAAAATGTTGTAATAATTAGAATTTTATTGTTTTTACATTAAGACCTTAAAAAAATAAATTTATTTAAAAGAATTATTTCTGGATTTTCGGGATTGCAAATATAACGTAACAAATACTGAATTAATTCTTACATAATATATTTATCAAATCAAATTGTCCTTTCAAACTGATTTTAGACAAGTTTTTCAAATGCAATAATAAATATGAATTTAAAAAAATATGTTGTCAATATTAAATAGATTCTCAAGATTTATCTATTAAATCTATTCTTATTTCAAGATTAGTTTTAGTTACATTCTTTAGCAAAAACGAAATTTAAAAAACTATAAACACGAATCAGAGATATAAATTGTGATAAATTTCAAGTAAATCAATTTATAATGATAAAAATTCAATTTTGCGAGATATTTTACACGTAAATATCCTGTGGTACACAGTAATACAGTATACCCACAAACGTTCGACTGATTCGACTCGCTATACTATCAATTGTTTCCTCGAGACTGTCTTGTGTCAGAGAAAAATGGCTATGCTTTTGAGTAAAAACTATTTTTCATTCCAAATAAAACGCTGCTTTCAACGGCAACAATTTAGTGGAGTTTATACATGGTACAACGGTATTGAATGGAAGTGTAGAAAAAGAATTTTGAGGAATGTTCTAAGTGTACTGGTGGGCGCGAGTGCTACTTGCGGAGCGTTCTTGTATTTCCTAGACCAATCGGTTCAGGCAATGGGCCGTGACGCGCACCCGCCCAATTATCCCTGGGACTTTGACGGATTTTTCACATCTCTGGATCACTCGGCCATACGGCGGGGTTGGCAAGTCTACAAGACCATATGTTCCACTTGTCACAGCTTGCGCTACGTACGATTCATGGATCTGGTCGACGTGTCACATACGAAGGACGAGATCAAGGCTATTGCCGCCGAGTATGAGGTAGACAGAAGACCTGAATTTATCTCATGCCCGACCTATTGATTTCATTTCTGAGGCATTTCGTTTCCTTCCCTTTCTTACAACTTTTGTAATTCATTTCAAGTTCCCACTCGAAGACATATAATACAATTACAAATTGGCTTGTTAAAAATTTTCTACGTCCGCGTAAAAATGAGATTAACTATCTCGTCTACGATGTAGCACGAAATATATTTTTCTATTCAGTGTTATAAAAAAGTAAATAAAGATATGACGGAAGATATTCCAAGGCTGGCCACACATGTTTAAGTAACTCATCAAATATACTTGTGTAAGTTGATTGAAACTGATGTGTGTGCTGATTTGTGATAACTATATAGTTTTATTATAAACACGCTGCAATAAAAACTTGTACAAGTTGCTTGTGCATGCATACTTGATAAATTTACTTAAACATGTGTAGCTGATATTAAAGAGTCTTTAGTTTGAACTGAACATGCCACACTACTACACACACTCCAATTTACTTGTGCAAGTTAGTGCAAGTATATATTAAATGAATTTTTATATTTGCTCCAATCATTTGCGCAAGCTAAAATAATTGTACGATTTTGTCACATACATGTTTCAATAAACTTGTACAAGCGACTTGCGCATGCATACTTAACAAGTTTACTTGAACGTGTATGGCCGTAAATATTTTTAATGTATCTGTTTGAAATTTGCTTTCGTTACATAAACGGAAATTGCAACTTTTTTTTAACAGTGTAGTGTTTATCCATATCGAGTTTATCTAATATAAACATAAATAATATCTCACGAAGAGATTTAATATATTAAAATTAACTGATTGCATTTTTAATCCAATTAATTAAGTAAAAATAAATATTCGTATTCTTGAAAAATGCTCGACCTCGATAGATCTTTTAGTGTAAATCTTTAAATTAGTTTTCTTTTCATACACTTGATTGATATTTCATAGAATAATATGTTGCGGATATGCAGATTCAAGATGGACCTGACGAAGAGGGAAATTACTACATGAGACCTGGAAAGTTATCTGATTTATTGCCACCTCCTTTCCCAAATGAGGAAGCGGCAAAAGCGGCCAATTTCGGTGCATACCCACCAGATCTGACCTACCTGATTTTTACCAAATATAATGGTAAAAATTACATATTTTCTTTTCTGACGGGTTGGAAGGAACCGCCGGCAGGTATATCTTTAAGCGACCACCAATATTTTAATATCTACTTTCCTGGAAATGTACTCAATATGCCACAGGTAATAGTATTCAATGATATTATTCCGCATATTTTTATACAAAGAAAGAATTATTCGTTAGTTTTCTTTTATCGATAACTTTTTAATTAATTTGATTATGAGATAAAATATTATGATACAAATTTTATCGTTTTTATGGGGTTTGCAAGATGAGTTGCACAGGCACTTCTATTCGTTTTTGCAATAAAACAAACAACTGAAATACTAACATCCTTGTAAACACACAATTTTAAAAAACTTTTTTTTAAGGACGCAATATCGAATCTCGCTATCTATTCATTTTCTTAAAATTCACAATCAAAGAATCAATTGGATCTTAAATTTGAGCCTTTTCATTTGGGCTTGCATTACCGATGGAAGATTAAGTTAGTATCTCCCCCCCTTCCTTCAATAAATCTAAATAGCATCAATATCAAAATTAAGTCTTATATGTGTTAATTATATGCTTTATTTATATCCTAGTCCTAATTTTTATGCTCGAACATTTAGCAGAAAAAGATTGAAAGTAGGGATGCTGGCTTAATCGAATTTGCGCCCTCCTCATTAAATAATACAATAATATATATAATAATATATATAAAATTAAAAAATTAGTACCATAGAATTAAGTGCTTTTAAAAACACAACCAAATCAATATATCTATCACAGTTTAAAAGATATACATCAATAAAGTTTGACAAAATATAACGCTTATTGTTAATAACAATAATGAGTGAATATATCAAACAAGGAACTTCGCTCCAATAACTAATCCTTAATTTTGATACGTTATAAAGGTCACTCAAACAATAAATTTTATTAGTATAATACAACAAAATATAGATGTTTCAATCCAACACGTTTCGGATCCTTCTCAATATAATAAAAAAATTTTAAATACAAATTATAAAACAAAAGAATTTAACATTGAGTAGTCATCATATAAATTAAACGCAAATTAAGAGAGAAATCTGTAATGAGATATAGTGTTGTGTAAAATTATGTTGTATAAGATGTATTATGTTTATGCACTTCTTTATTGAATTTCCAAATTAATTAACACGGGGAATCCCAGAGTTGATATCCTTGAATTTAAATGCTAATTTTTTTGGTAACTCTATAGATCAAAAGAGAAATTTCGTGTTTGGTGATATAGGCCTTTTTGAGTTTTTAAGTTTCGAAAATTGGCCACGCTTTGGGCAAGAGCGATTAGCATGCTTTGCAAGCAGTACGAGTGACTCCCTTGGAAATCGAAACGATGTTGATACAAGTTCGAGATCCGTTGTATTGCTAAAATCGATCGAAATCTGTAACATGTGTCGATCCGTGATTTAAAATAAAAAATAGACATAAATTTAATTTACTGAATTATTGACATATAGTAAGTATTATATATATATATATATATATATATATATAATTTAGTGATAATTTAGCAATATATGTCATCGATTTAACTTAAATTTATGTCTAAATTGTTAATTTCATGTAATTTAAAAAAAAGTATTCTAGACACGAAATTGCAAAATAAATGATCTATATTATACCTATCATCAAAATTTAATGATAGATACTACTGTTCATTTAACTTATTTAGATGATGTATTTCAAGAGTAATATTTTTTTCTAATGCCTAAGAAATGTAGATATATTAAAACGTGTAACTACATATAGCATTTGAAAATTTTACATCTAGTTTTTTTTATCACAATTTCATTTAAAAACTATGATAAACGTAATCTCCCTTAATAATCAGACAGTTTACAAATATAATAAACATCTATCAAATTATTCCCTCCGTAAATTTGAGATAAATGCTAATAAGATATAATTATGCTAAATTATACTTTATCAAAAGAAATTATTTGTACATTAACACTGTTAATATTTATTTCACCGATTAATCTTTTATACCGATGAAATTTTAATTGCGCGCTCTAGTATTTGATAGTCATTATAAGATATTATGACATAGAATTATGTACAGATGCTAGTTGAAGGAGTGGTGGAATATGATGATGGCACTCCATCGACGACATCGCAAATGGCAAAGGACTTAGTTACGTTTCTAAGTTGGACATCTTCGCAAGAATTTGATCAACGAAAACAGATGTTTATCAAGGGAATGGGACTCAGTGTTATATTAATTGCTTCGGTTGTTCATTATTCGAGATTCCTCTGGTCACACATAAGAAGTAGACAGATAGCATACATACCCAAGGAAAAATATTAAGAAATATTCTCGCGAAAGGTTTCGGAAGGACGGAAGTTTCTCGGCATTAAAAATGAAATATACAAAATCAGTGAGTTATGAATTGAAATGATTCATTGAATTTATAAAAATTTGAATTTGAGGTTAACAATAATTATTTTTTAGATCCGAATTGCCATCTTTTTTCAATTTTGATCAGAAAAAGTATTAAAGATTATCGAAGATATAATATTAGATATATTAAAGGCAAGTTACAAAAACAGATTTAAAACCGATTTTTCAGAAAAATAATTGATTTACTAATTTATAAATACAATATGTTACAATAATCTGTAAATAAGAAATAGTAATTAATTGTGAAAAAATACAGTAAAATAAATTTTAAATAATCCTAACTTTATTAAAAATGTCAAATAAAATATTAAATTAAAACACATGAATATAAAATATCATCAATTTAAGGGAACACTGGAATTGTTTTATTGTAGATAAAATATAATTAATTTTCGGATTCTCCAATCTTTTAATTGTATTTAAATAAATTTAAAAATCCTCCACAATTAAAGTAAATAAAATACAGAGCGCAGACAATAATTTCATGTGGCAAGCAAAAAGAAATTTAAAAATTATAGTTTTGTCCTTGTTTTCTGCAATTGACTCACATGTGCTGCATATAAGATTTAGACTTTGTACGTTTGAAATAAGCTTAGATAACACTAGAGATTATATGAAAGAACAGTACTATTGTAGAAATGAATTAAGGGCTTTAGTATAAAAAGGAGGAAAGAGAATCTGAAAATTTCATTTGTATGCTACGAGTGAAATCGGTGTGAAAAGTAAAACAGAGCAGTAATTGTGTCTAACAATAGATACCGGGTCTTACAAAAGATAGCGTTGCAATATATCAAATAAAAGTAGATTGTGTGATAATAGAACGATAATGTATTATAAGTCAGTTTAGAATTAAAAAGTCATCACATTATCGACATCAATCAAATTTGGCTATCCAGCATTCTCTTAAGAAAAAAAAAAAAAACCTTTAATAATATTTATAATATTTCATTTTAAATTTTTATATTTAAAGATGAGGCTGTTACAATTAGATATTATACCTAATTGTAACAGCTCTATCTATAGACATATAAAATTATATTTTCGATAAATTATTTTTAAGGTAGTTTTAATTTAGTTCTTTTATGTATAAGCATCTAATTTATTTTTACGATGCTAGCATTTTCATTTAGCTGTATATCGAAACAAATTTTAAAGTAATTTTAATCAGATATGTATGTGTACGAGTGCATAGTCTATAATCCTCACTGACCTTACGTCCACGTAGTTCCACAAAGTGCAGAGTGTGTAGCCGCGTATACATACACACGAAAACGTATTCTATAAATATAAGCAACTTTCGACGAATGCTATCCTCTGATGCCAATATGGGCCAATCACGAAATAGCGTGCGCGCGTGCAAAGTCGTATACAAGGAACATAGACGGATCCAGTGACCGACTGCAGTAACATGCGCCAACATCGATAATCGTTTTGCAATGCGGCCTTGACGGTGCCCGTATAGCTACCGATCGTGCCGTCTAAAAATAGGAGCTTGTGCGTGAGTGCACGCGAGCGCTTACGAGCAATAAACATTAATGTCGTCTCTCACATGAGTTGTTATCTCCGAATGAGTTGGTCGCTTGAGAATCTATCTATCTCGTTTGTAGTAACACCCCCGCGCCATCCCGTGATACCTCACCGTCTATTTTTAGATCGCCATGTACAGACATCTTGCTCACACCTCTCTCTCTCTCTCTCTCTCTCTCTCTTTCAATCCCTCGTTTCATCCGTCTTTCGATTGGTGACAGCAGAATAGAATGTCGAAAATAATATCGAGCGTTTCGGCAGCAACTATACAAGGTATCTTGCAACTACTATTAAAAACGTGTTCCTGAGATAAATTTGAATCAAAAATTCTAATACGAAAATGTCGAGGCTACAAAATTTTTGAAATTGACAGCGATTAAAGTTCACTAATCAAAATAAATTCGTGATCGTATTCGTTCGCTTTATATAATAAACTTGTAATCTTAAAGAAGCTGGAATAAGAGAGAGAGAGTAATATAACATATCAATTTCGAAGGCATTATTTAATTATTTAATTTAAAATATTAAGATTATTTCAATTAAAAAAAAAAGGATTTATTTATTCCTAGGAAAGAACTGTATTACTTACGCAAAAATAAATGTAAATAGAAAAACAGAATAGAGCATTTACTATAGTTATTGTGTATTCCATTTTTCTATGTAAATTTATTTATGCAAATAATATAGTTTTTTCTCGAGTACAAATGAATTCTTTTTTACAGTTAAAATAATATTAATATTTTAAACCAACTAATTCCTCCAAAATCGATATTATAATACAATATATTATTTATTCCAACTTCTGTAAGATTATGTTTCAAGTCCGACAGTAATTAGCAATTCGATACTGTAAAAAATGTAAAATATATTTAAAAATTTACATAACATTAGGCAATACTATTAGGAAATATACCAAGATCCAGCATCGACCATACAGGATGTGTGTTCTTCCGAATGGGACTCTACTCCGAATGAGCTGAAATTTTACAGATAATATTGTTACGATTTATAGTAATTATGAAGATTCTATTGTCAGATTTTTTATAGTTTGAATGATAAAAAATAAAAAAGAGAAAAATTATGACTGAAAAGATTTCTATATATCTATATATATATATACATAAAATATTTAAAAAGTATTATAGCCTCGATATTTTCGTATTATTATGTATTTTTGTATTAGAATTTTCAATTCAAAATTATTTCATAAACACATTTTTAAAAATGTAATGCGGTAGTTGCAAAACACCCTGTATATAGGAGACGATGCGTCAATGCAGCAACAAGTGATGCCCACAGACGTAAGAGGAAACCGGTGGCGATGAAGGATGATAGGCCGGATAGGGAGTGGGGGCAGGATGAAATCAAAAATATACGGAACGATGAATGAAACTACTGTCAACATTATCCAACGCGCAACGAGACTGTTTTTGAATGCATCTTCGGAGGTGACGGAGAAGAGAATGTGAGATGCAACAAGGACTAAGATAAGCGGCAGTATCTCAAAATATCATCAGTCGCTCAGAAAATTTATTGCACGGTGGAACTGACGTGTGATGCTGACATCGATGCATCGTGTGTATAATGGGCGCGAGAAGCGAAATGTAAATGGAAACTGGCGTAATTTCAACAAGAATAACTTTCCGTGAAACGTAGATGTGCTGAAATAAGTTGAAATAAGTTGTTTCGAAATTACACAAATATGTAGAAGTATGTGTACGGCCAATTCGTTATTTACAATCAATGTGTTACGTTCATGTAAATAAAACTAATATAAATTAAATCTCTTGTACAGAAAAAAAAATAAAGAAACAATGCTTCTTATATATTAGGTCATTTAAAAAGTATCCGCGGTTTTTCGTTCAATTTTTGAATGAAAAAATCGCGAATACTTTTTAAATGATCCAATATATTACATAAACATCGAAATCACGTGTTCATAATCATGTGAAACATGTCACATGTATTAATTGGATTTTGAATCTCTTGGAAATATTTATAGAATTAAGTCATAGAATTAATCGTTCCTAATTATATTATAAAAAAAAACGAAAAGAATTTTCTCTTAAAATTTACTCTGGAAATATAGTAGTTATGGTACTTTAAAGATTTTTACCATGCACTTCAAAATTAATCAAACTTATTTTATATTTTATTATAGTTTTATTACAGAATGAGAGATTTACATAAAATTCTTCGAAATACAATGTTGTCCTACGACTATCATATTTTCAGGGTAAACTCTAAAAAAACATTCTCTCCATGTAACTCATAATTTATTTTAAACGTTCCTGTGATCAGACATGTACACTCATCAACTAAGAGATTGCACACTTTTTCGATAGATTTTAGAAGTCAGTCTAGAGCGGTTAAAAATAAATAATTAGTAGATCTGTAAATAAGAACCAATCGCTCGATGAAGCTGCATCCAAAACCGAATCAATCACTACGTGGTCAATCGGTACATGATCAATCACAACATAGTAAATCATTGTGAATCGTAACATGCTACAACACACTAACGTTGAATCAATATCTCAGAAACATTGAACTGCAACATTGCAAAATATAGATTCAATATTGGAGAGATATTGCAAAAACGTCTAATGTCTGTTGAGTATATTGTCTCTATTCATATAGTGAGACCATATATTTAAGGTTTCTTTACTTTATCTTCAGATGCTCTACAAATTATTTTATTGGTTACTGAGCATCTAAAGATAAATTTAAGGAAGTCTTAAATATAAGGTCTGACTATGAATACGGATATATATCTTACAGATACATGTACATGTTACAATTCAACATTGATTCAACGTATATGCAACGTCCATTCAATGTTTATTCAATGTATAAGCAACATATAGATTTCATGTAGATTAAATATATTTTATATTTTCAAAAGAATTGAATAAAAGACGCAAAAATTAGTCTTTAAACTGGAAAAAAATGACAATTTAAAAAATAATATTAATTCTTTTTTATTATTTATTTATAGATATAAAAATATATTTTAATATATAAAACGAATTTTAAATAAAAAATCAATATTATTTTTAAAATTAGATTTTCCCATAATTTAAAGATTAATTTTACGATTTTATTTTATTTAATTCTTTTGAAAATAAAGAATGTATATAATATAATCTTAAATCTTCATAAAATTGAGAAGCATTTTATGTAATTAGTTTACTTTTATTAATAAAGTAAATTTATGTATTTTTTATTAAAAAATTATTTGGATATTATTATATGATTATTATTATACTTATTCATATTTTGTATATTCCATAATTGTAAAACTTTCTAGTTAAAAATATTATAACGTATCATTATAACTTAATCTAAAAATTATATTTAAATAATATATGAAACTTAATTTATATTTTTTACTCATTAACCACT